AATCATGTATAAATCGTCAGGTAGCCGTGTTATACTCTTGATTTTTAATGAAAGTTGCAAGTTCCTTTCTACACTTTGTACAATTTAAGTGTATCCTTTCTCGAAGTGAATGAATGAATCGACGTATATAATCATTTATTCAAACCGATTATTGATACAGTTAAGCATGATTTATTATTGCAAAGTTTTAGTTGTTTCCATTTTAAATACTTAATTTTTTAAGGGAAAATGTTTATTTTTGGCTCAATTTAATCGTTGTGTCATTATATGTTGATATAAAATTAATAATGTTATGGTAATATTTATTTACATTAAGTCAGGAACTATGATGCATTTTAAAAAATTTTACCACATCAAAATAATATGCTAGTTGGGTTAGATTTTACTTGATAGGTATAGCTATTGGCATTATTGATTCATTACAAATTTATCAATAATAACAGAGCACAGAACAGAAATTAGAAATCATCAACGACAATTTTGGCAATTTTTACTTTTTGGTTTAATGTGATTGCAATTCAAAACAACGATAAAGATTAACAACTGTTTCTGAGCACAATAAAGAACAAAAATGGAGATATCTACGTTAAACGATGAAGAAGGAATGTTTATTGAGAACCAAACAAGAAAAATACAAGGTAGATCAACAGGTAAGGATCAAAATAGAAACAGAAAAGCAAATAATAATGGAAAAGCAGCTGAGAGAGATTGAGGAACAAACCAATTGATTAAACGTATGGGATAGTTGAGGAAGGAGGTATTATTGCATAAATTGAATAAAGTTTGGTAAGAAGAAAAAATATCAAAAAATTGATAAACGGCACTATAGATACAACTATAGATATATAACACTTCTAAGCATGTCCATGAAGATGTTAGAACAAATCATTGACAAAAAATGAAATCAACAATAGAAAAAAACATTACATGAGGCACAAAGTGGTTTTAGAAGAGGCAGAAGTAAATTGATGAGATAATAAAAAAATACAAAATTGGATCAAAGAAATTCCAGGTTAAATATAAGAACATGTAACCAGCGGAAATTATAGAAGTAGCTTTTAGAGACGATGTAATGATTGTATGAGATGCACAGAAGGGATTACAAAACAAACTATAGATCAGATACGTCAATATATGAAAGGAATTAAATATCGATTCATTAAACGAGTTAATTGAAAAGCTACAAATTAGTTGGTGGAGACATTTGTGCAGCATGCAGGATACGAGACAGCTGAGACAACTCTATTAAGAAAGAACGCAAGGAAGATGAATACGGGGCATAATGGAGAAGAGAAGAAGAACCCTGCAAAAAATCGAAAAAATTGACTTTGTATAAGAAACCATGGTCCAAATTTGTTTATGGACAAGAAATCTCAGAACGCAAATTTAGAAAGAAAACATGCCTGCACCAACAATTTACCATTAATTCCTCATCGTTTTACTGCATTCTTTTGACCAATTTTGGGTTGATATGATATTAATTGTGGACTCTTGGTATAATCATGCAAAATTATACTAGATTCCCTATACTAAATTTACCCGAGATATTAATTATGACATAAATTCTCCTTTATAATATTAATCGAGACCACTTCCGGCCGAGGCGTTGCAATGTGTTGACGAGCTTTGAATTTTTATGATATACAGCTAGCAACCTCGCCCTTAATTAAGTGCAATCATACATTCTCCACTATAAGATTTACCTCAGTCGCTTGTAGCTGTAGCGTTACAATTTGTTGACCAGTTTTGAGTTAATATAATCAATTATCATTAAATATACCATACGCTGCGTTTTTACCACACAAAGAGGCGAGAGATTGAGGAGAGGTACAAAAATATTTTAATGTTAAGAGTACTGACTTGTCAATAAAACAAGAAAAAGTAACGAAAGAACAAAAGTTAAATGTAAAGACAGCTTAACTTCATGCAAGAGATGGAATTATTCCTTTATGCCTGATGTGAGGTGAAAGCAGAATATATCACACCGGTATAATTAAAATGCAATTCACACCGATTCACGGAGCATAATTTTAAGTTTTCTATTAAAAAATTTGACTGTTAAAAACAAGTTTTAAATTGCGATAGGTTAAGTACATCTATTATGTGATCATTAAAGTTAAGTGCCGCATCAATTAATAGTATTAAGCTTTTTTTAGCAGTCTTATACATAATACTTGTATTTTTTTATGGTGGTATATAGTTTGAATAAGTCTTTAATTGATTAATGTACAGATTATTACATTTAGAAAGCTATACTTTGAAGTTCAGATTTAATGCAATCAACTGATCCATAAGAAAACTTGTAATAGTATCCAAACTAGCCAATATGTTATCTTTATCCTCCTCTATTTCTTCTTACTTAAAATTATCTAATTCTGAAATCTATTCAGCAAGTCTAACAGAATCCAAACAAGCCAAAATGGTATCTTTATCCCAGAAAACGTGTAATATAGTACGTTATTGTCATAAAGCTACCAAAAGGAGCCTTATTTCTTTCATACTTAGTTAGTGCGAAGCTCCAATAGCTGAAGTACATAAATGTAATGATAGAAGTGAAAAAATGCGTTTCCTCTTATTTTTGTCAGTTAACTAATGTTATAAGAAAAACATTTCTTGAAATGTCTAGCTAGGAATTGTTACTTGACTTTGTTACTTTAAAAATTGGGTTTGAAGCTTCCTGACATAATTAGTTTTCTGGAACCTAATGCAACATTTTTGACTTTAGACAGAAATGCTCAAGTATACATTGTCGCATCAATATATGATCTTAAGTAAAAATGTCGTTTGGAACGACAAAAGTAAACTCTATGAATTTAGTAGATTTGGGATCTAATGTCTTTAGTTTGTCATTTAAATCTTTTCGGCTATTTGCTGCCATAAGCATCAAAAAATCTCATCTATATAAGATAATGCATCCTTTATTTCTTAGATGGTCATAACTAGATTTTCAATTATAGAGTCCCAGATGATACATAGATTGGTCCCCAGCGATCTTGGCATTAATTTTAATCTAATGTATAAGTCACCAAAGTTTATCAAATAATTTTGATTAATGATTTTAACTTTGGTTCTCTTTAACCTTGTTTATAACATACACAATATACCTGTATTTCTACTGCATATGCTGAGCAAGACAATTCCATGTTGTTGTTGCATATGAATAACATCACATATAACATTTATTAAAAAACCTGGCAAGCATTCAAAATTTATGTCAACTTGATTACACAAATCCTTCATTGTGGCCAATAATCGTGATTTGTTTATAGAATCGATTGCTAAGCAAACAGGAAGTACTAATTTTCTTCTATAAAAATGATCCTTTTATCATTGAAAAAGAAAGGATAAGTTTAATAATAAATACTTACAGTTAACATAGGCCGTTATGAAACGGCATTTAAAGCACCTCGTCTTTCTTGTTGATACGCGTGCCAAGAAGAAAATAAACCACCATTAATATGCATACTCATAATTCCGAATAATAACTAATTCGCATAAACTATTCATTAAATCAATCAGTTGCAATTAATTTCAGCGCTATATTTTATCATAACATGTAACACAGCAATATCTTACTTTTTACATTCTTTAAAATTCCGTTTGAGTTGTTTTTAGTATAAATTTTCTGTAAACTTAAAAGTTTACGTCGTAATTTTTCTTTTTGGGGTATTTTGTGACCGGTCGTAATTTTCGTACAAGAATTGCAAACGTATAAACCGCTACGTGCGGACATTTTTATGACGCCGCGTCGCTTGAGATATAGCGTTATCGGTTTACAGGCGCTCTTTTATACGCATGGCGAACGGCGAAAACAAAACGGATCGTATTTCGAGACTTGCCGGCCCTGGTTTTCTTTTAACGGTAGGTGTCGTTCGCGACGATGTCCAACAAGAACCAACAATGCGGAGGCTATTATCCCTCTACAATTACTTAATCGAAACTTAACAATACTATGTCGATTAGAATTTAAAAGCCGGTAAGAATGAAAACAATAACAACAAAACAATCTCATCGATAATCTATGTAAAAATAGAAGGATTAGAACATTTTCAGATGCTAAAATTGTTTAATTTTTGCAATAATTAATATTCAAATTCAAAATCCCCTCTATAAAAGCTTTGGTGACGTTTTCGCGTAAGATCAAGAAGACACAAACGTGCATCGTTCGGATCTCTTCTTCTAGCGCATAAGGCATCTCATCTTTTATTGATTTTTATTTCAACCAATCGCGTGCGAAACGACGGTGACGTCACCAAAGTTTTTTCAAATTTGGGAATTTTGGACAAACTAAAGTCCGATTTGAAAAATAAAAAATTATAGAAGTCTTCAATTTTACTAAACTATCGAATAAGGTAATAAAAAAATGTTATAAGTAATAAGAGTGTTATAAGTTATAACTTAGGGATTTTTTGATGTGATTGATTGAAAATTAAAAAAAAATCGTTCTAAGCTTCATCAATGTTACATTATAGTACTAACTCTTGATAAATAAACGTAGTCTTATCAGAAAGAGCCACTTGAGAAATACCTTTATATAAGTATATGTGTGTGTTGCGTTTTATTTATCCTTTCTAAATACGACCAATTTTTTTAATACCTACGTTCGTATTTTTTTGTAATACCTCGTTTCGATAACTTTTTCGATGGCCTATTTGTGGACTTTGCTGACTTCGCATAGGAAATGGGTTTCTATCACTTTCCTTATCTCAACCATCCGATAAGAGCACACTTAGAGCGTAACTAAGGATCGAAACGTTGGTATTGTCGTCAATCCTCCTATGATAAGCGGTCGATAAAAAAAAAATTCACCGATTCTTATTTTTTTTTAATATCCTCTCTAAAATCTCGCGATGAGTTTCATCGAACATTGTGGCGCCTATTGGGAGGATGATAATCAACATGAACAACATCAATTTCTCAATAATGGTACATTATTAATAAATTTTTTTTAATTTTTAAAAATTTAAATAATTTAAGTTAAATTTTCCTTTTTTTTTTAGCATCAAGAATGTCATCGAGTCAAGTATGCAGACCACATTTCCACGCCCCATTACCCTGGTTATCCGACGGAACAAAACCCCTAACACATTCAGGTCCTTGGGTACCATTCGGGGGTGGCGATCCGGATAAAAGTCAAAGTCCATCGGGGGCGCCACCCGCTCAATCCCACAATCTCTTCTCATTTCCACCAACGCCCCCAAAAGACAGCACGCCGGATTCGGTGGCGCCAGGTGTTGGAGGCGGCGGTGGCGGAGGTGGTGGTGCAGAGTACAGCGCGGTTGCAGCCGCAATGGGAGCCTTTATGCACGAGAACCATCAAAGCTGTGCGTTGGATGTGAAGCCATCGCAGGCTGCGGCCGCGGCGGCGGCTGCGGCTGCTGCTGCCGCTGCGGGGGCGGCAAAGCAACGCGAAGGTAGTGACTATGACGGCGCTTCGTCCGGCATGTTCAATGGTAACTTTGAAAGCTCGTATGGGCCCGCGTACGGCCACGGTATTCATGCGGCGGCCGCGTATTCGCCGCAAACGGGAAAACACCTAGCTGGACCAGGGGCGCAGTCCCCGAACAAACCTAGAAACAAGTCGAGAACTAGTGCCGGTAAGAGATAAATTACAGCGAAAAATTTTTTTTATTTAACCCCAATATGAATTAATTTTTTAATTAAACATAATTAAAAAAAATTAAATCAATATTGGGTTAATTTTAATTTATTTTTATTTCAAATTATTTATTTATCCTTTTTTTTATCATTTAATTCTTAAATTCCCATTTTTGATTTGGCTACGTGCAAATATCGTTTTTAAAACATTTTCAAAAAAAATAACTTAAGAATTCAATTATTTTAAATTTTAAATTAATATCTTTATGTCGATTTTGAAATGTTTTGAAAACGACTTGTGTTCGTGGTAATTGAAATATGGTGCTGGGATGACTAAATTTGTGGTAGAAATTGCGATGAGAGGATTACGTTCATTTGAATATCCAATTTATATTTTAATCAAAATAGGTGGTTTAAACTTAATTGAGCCAATTATTTTATAATAAAAATGTTCGATTAAATAATTAATTTGGATAATTTTTTATTACTCAAATAAATTCGTAAAGAACTTGAATAGAAAAGTAAATTTATTAATTTTAATGAAAATCTAAAATTGATTTGTGAAAGTTGAGAAATGGGTTTAATTCTAAATATAAATATCTAGGCTTTCCTGAGAATTTCGTTAACTTTGATTAAACTATGCTGGATATACTCCTGTTACAAGGAGGTTGGATTGGATGCGCCTTTAAACGGAAGTACTTTGTAAAGAAGCCCATTATAACTGTCATGCTATCACGGTTTAATTCTAATAGAATCATGGCTTTCATGAGATGTCTATATACTTTTTAACTTGTCACATGTCGGAAGATGTTACCTACAATTATTCGTTGTGGAACAAACTTTACATTATTTATGCCAGCTCTGTTTATGCTAACCGATGAAATATAACGTACTGTTAAAAGCTTGCACTGCATAGAGATTCTCGTAAGCATATTTGATCCATTTTAGACAACTATTTGCTGGTACTATGTTTTGTTCTCGATTAAGTGCTTTTTTATAAGGTAGCAACAAATCCGACATACTTAATGCCAAATTTTAGGCGTTCTGCTTGTTGATATCAAAAGGAGTTAAGTAATGCAACTTACTTAAAAATTTCCATTACAACCATCAAGTTTGGTTATACTCCTGTTAAAAGGAGGGCACCCAACATTATCGATTAAATCCAAAATGTTGGGTTGGATTGGATGCGCCTTTAAACGGTTGTCACAGTTTAATTCTGATAGAATCATGGCTTTCATGAGATGTCTATATACTTTTTAGCTTGTCACATGTCAGAAGATATAACCTACAATTATTGGTTGTGGAACAAAGACATTACATTGTTTATGCCAGCTCTGTTTATGCTAGCTAATCTGTTGCTTCATAACCAGCTACGAGTAACCGATAAAATATAACTGTATTGTTAAAAGGTTGCACTGCATAGAGATTCTCGTAAGCATATTTGATCCATTTTGGACAACTCTTTACTGGTACTCTGTTTTGTTCTCGATTGAGAGTTGTTTATCAAGAAATAACAAATCCGATATACTTGATGCCAAATTTTAGGCGTTCTGCTTGTTGATATCAAAAGGAGTTGCATGCTCTATATGCAAAACTTCCATTACAACCATCAAGTTTTTAATGTATTCCTGGCTTTGATTATAAAGATGCCAAAAAATGCAGCTTGTTTGTGCTCTATCTCATTGCAAGCTTATATCATCTTATCATTATTGTTTTCTTATAGAGCGACTCAGTGCTTGGAAAACAAATTGATTTCCTGAGAAACCCTTTTTGTAGAAGGATGCCACCATATCCAGGTTGTGCGTCGTTAACTGATGATTTCCGGTTCTCGTAGGCATTTTTGATCTATTTGTAAATAGACAACTATTTGCCGATACTATGCAAATTCTATTGTCGAATTCTACTGCCTCTCAGGGATCATGATTTTATATTGATAATCAAATTAAAATACAAATGAAAAGGAGATGGTAGGATACTCAGAGATAACAGAAATCCCCAATACGATTTCCATAAAAAGTTCCATTATGATTCACTTTTAGCGATAGTTTAGTACCGACACATTTGCTGTAAAGATGTCAAAAATGTCTTTGCACATCTTATGCCAATAGATTTGGTACACAGTGGACGAAGTCTTCGCACACCAATCAGTGGATTTGGTCCAACAAATGCTTTAGTTCCATTCGTTTACCAGTTATGCCAGCAGTATAAGATACGACCCTGCTTACATTATCAAATGTTTGATGTTCTCTTACAGCTGTGATCTTGTTATCATGCTTTCTGAAAGGATTTTAACACATCTAAGCTGCGTGTTCTTAACAATCTTAACCAATAATTCCTAATTTTTGTATGCATTTTGATTCATCTATAAATAGATAAAAACATACTTACCTGTACTATGTAAGTTTAGTATTCGATTCTATGCTGTTTCTAAGGAATCATGATTTCCTACTGGTAATCCTCTACAAAACCAATATATTTGATGGCAACTTCCGAATGGTTTGCTGTTGATGTACACAGCAATAGCAGGTGGGTCGATTTGACGTTTATCTCTACAAATGACATGGTGCTTATTGTACCCACCATATTCAACTCCCATTACAATCCTCATGCTCCGACGGTTTAGTTCTAATATATGTAGTATATCTGGTTTTATTTATGGAAATGTCATAAAACGCCATTACATATCTAATATCGTGAGGTTTAGTACACAGTGGACAAAATACACTCACATCAATTCATTATTCATAACAAACGTTTTAGTGGTACTTCTTCATCTACCACTTTATTGCCAGTTATGCTCTAGGCATAAGATTAGTTTAACTTTTTTCACCCCTTTTTCAAGAAGGACCTTAATGTCCATGTTTGACTCACGAACATGTATTTTGACTTTTGAAATTCCCATAAATATTTTTTGTTCATCTGTAAATAGACAACTATATGCCGGTAATGTGTTAGTTTCGTTTTTGACCAAAAATTGTGTCTTAACCAACATGATCTTGTAAATAAATTGTTGATTGAGAAACATTGATGATCTTTCTATTCAAATTGCTCTTATTCGATGTCAAGTTTTCAACATTTTGCCTGCATCTATAGATAAGATGGTCATCCAATCAATTCTACTTATGTGTAAGTTAAGATGAGTTAGGCGAAGTAGGTAATCATTGCTTAATCTTGAATACAATTTGCTGGAAATTGCGACTAGATGGCAATTTAGCTTACTTATTACACTTTCTTTTGACCTCAAGGTCATTACGTTCTATTTATGACTAATTTCTCTCCCCAAAAATGTGTACCATTATCGAATTAAAATGTATCAACGCAAAAATTTGCTAAATTAAGATTATTTCGCTCCTGCTGGATAGGGCAGCAGTAAAGGCTCTCCAACTGGTCCAGTTAGCAACAAGGCGTTTCACTTCTCTCCACGTTTTCCAAGCTTTCATTACTGCTTCCTCAACAATGCTCGTCTATGTCTTTCTCGGGCACCCTTTTCCATGATTCTTGAGGGTTTCAGTTAAGAGCTAACATCTCAATTGCTCCATGAAACGTCCTTAACGTGTGGCCAATCCAACGCCATTTCCTCTCCTTGAGTTGTCTTCATTGGATATCACCTTCGGTCACCACAACTACAATTTTATTCTGCCAGATAAGCTTATTATGCTTATTTTTTGCCAGATAAGGTACAATTGCATTTGCTTTCTGTATTCGTTAGTTATTGAACCATGGAGTTAACAAAATTTACGAATTTTTAAAGAAATTAGTAAATTTTGGCGCCGCCTATCTATTTCCTTGCCAAATTCGATGAAATCGCTTAATTTAAAGCGCAGATTTTTGGGAGACCACCAAAATACTTAAACTATTAAAAGTATATTTGATTAGGAAATGCAATAATTTTAAATACCATGAGATAAAATTATCTCATAATTTAATATATGTCTACTATTCGAATCAAAATCTCTAAAATATTTGATTGAAATCGTTTAACTCAGTAATGTTTACATTTAATTAAATAAGGATTAAAGGTTTTAAGGTAATTGATGATAATAGTAATCCTTAGATTTAGTATCTGATTCTGGAATGTGCTAACTATTTAGAATTATCTCACAACTCAACTAAAACAAGTCTAAGATAATTTTATGAATTAAATAATTACATAAAACTTTCATTAAAAATGTTATAAAATCAATTAATAAATTTAATTAATATAATACAAAATTTTAAATGATAATAAAAAAGTTTTAAAAGGAAGTGTACTCAATTTGTTATCGAAAATTGCATTAAATCATAAAGTAATAATCCTTAAATAAATAAAAACAAAGTGACTAACCAATTAAAAAGTCTAATTTGCGCCGTAATTTATGATCTGATGTGATATAATCGTTTCCTTGGGCAGTATTTTGTAACAGATAATCAAATTTAAAATCAATCAATCAATAATTTAATAAAAAAGTGTTACCATAAACATTAATCAAAAATGAATAAGTAGTAAAAAATCGCGGTTAATATAAAATAATAAAAATCCGAATTATTATCTTTATAGTAATTTTATTTTTTCGTTTCGTCACAAAATGATTAAAAAAACAAGAATGATTTAGCAATAAATTATTTAAATTAAGACATTGCTCAAAAGCTAAATATAATCAAACTCGAACTCGTTATTGAAATTTAGATACAATCAAAAGTGAGTTCTCGATGTTTAAGTACATACCTAAAAGTCCGTTATTGTAAAAGATTAAAGATAACACAATCATTTTAAATTGAAGGAGAGAAAAAAATTAAATATTTCATGGTATGATTTTTTTTATTAAAAATTTAATGGATTTAAATGTATTCGTGATCCTCTATTATCGCTATTTTAATAAATGTTAATGATAATACTAAAATAGTACTAAAAGTCTTAATAAAGTGCTCTATTGTCTGTGACACGCACAATAAGTTATTCGTTTGGTGTTTTTAAATCAAAGCATTTAAACGATTATTTTTATTTCTTTTTTACTTATTT